TTATAGCAAATAATTTTGCAAGCATTAATTTAAGAACAGTACTTGCTGTCATTAACATTGCATCTTCTCAAATTCCACTACTAGTTTTGCTGGCTTTAAAGTGGTATGTAATGAAGCTAATGACTCAAAATTTAACTTACATGAAGAGCATTATATGGGTGGAATAAACATTTTTTAAATTTTAACAAAAGCGTAGTCATTGAAAAAAGTGAATTTCAACAATGACGAACATCCAGATGCAGTTCGATTTCTTTACCAAGTTCTTCAGTAACTTTCTTCTGAAAAATTTGATTACGAACGATAATATTTTTATGAATTTCAATACAAACTAAAAAAACTAACGGCATTGTAACACCTTTTATATACGCAGATTTTGTTATGCCGTTATTTGTGCTGTTACATTCGCAGATCCGAAGGAGTTGTTTGAGGCAAAACAATTTCGGCGTTATAATTGTGTTATACTTGCTGTTACATTATGCTGTCATGTTATGGTGTTATATTTAAAGATGTTTGCTGTTAAATTTGCTGTTATTTTCACAGATAGTTTTGCATTTATACTTGATGTTATATTTGATGTGACACGTGATAGCAAATATATCAGCAAAATATCATTGCAATAAATAAAAAGTTTTGAAACTGACACATTAATTTGTAAAGCGGTAGAACTAGCTGGTAAAATTAAAAGGTAAATGAAAGCAAATAAAGTTAATTTTAAAGAAAACTCTAAAATAGTTATTGCCATCAGCAGTAATTTTTTTGAATTTTATTCAAGTGGTAGGTATTATTTATTTTAGAGATATTATTTATTTTAGAGATGTTTAGGTATTATTTATTTTAGAGATGTTGTAAAAAACTTATTAAAATTTATCGTTTTAATTAATTGTATCATTGAGTATTTTCAATTATCATTAAAAAATGCTCGTGCATCCTATTATATATACTTAACAACGTGTAATTTATTAAAAAACGAAGTCAAGAGTTGTAGTATCATTTCAAATCAAAAATTAAAAATACCTTATAAAAATAACTTACTTCAAAATATTAAAATTAAATTATAGCACCAAAATATTGGTCACTCCTTTTATAGTATAATGATTTGAATTAGTAGTAATATGAAGATGATTGTCATTGATGCCAAATTATATTTACATTGTTTTGTGTTTTAATTTGTGAAACCTTTAATTTGCTCATGTTTAAAGAAGTCAAGTTAAACAGCTGTAAAGTAACTGCTAATAGTTTTACTGTTCTTCCTAATGGACAAATTTTAGAGCTTATGATTCAAGGTCCCCAACTTGTCAATATGTCAAATCCAACTTGTCAATCCAATCCAACTTGTCAATCCAACTCTAAACAAGTTGGATTTTTATCTGATTAAAATAAAACTGACAAAGCTCAATGCACGAAAAGTATACTTTTTGTGCATTCATTGAAATTTCAAGGAAGTCAACATTATTATCATTGTTTACTGATTCAAAACTAAAACTGTTTTAGTAAAATTTATGTTTATCCTCTTCTGAATCACTGTCCGTTTCCTTGGGAATTTGTACATTTGTTTCTTTATTATTCTTGTATAACGTGTCGCAAACACCAAGATGAAAGCATGATTAAAGGAAAACTGATCAACAATGTCCGTTAATTATTGTGTCTTATTAATTGCTGCACCGTCTTGAGTAGAACCTTCTGCATCTCTTTCTATACAAACACAAAATAAACTCAAATGATCCTTAATAATTTGTATTAAACTTTCAAACCATAAATCCTAATAAGGCCAGTTTTGAAGGTTTTCTTATATTCGCTTTCATGCAGGTTGACACTAATCTACCATCTGTGCCTCAAAGATGTGTATTCATCATGCTTTAAAATGAGTTTATGTCCTATTTAAATTTTTTTTTGATAATTTATTGTTTCATCACTTCTTTTTATGAGAAAAATTTTGATGAATTAAATTCATCACTGTTGTCAGATATTTAGGAAGATGATTTCTCTTTGTTGAATTGATGAGCGAATTAAATTTGGTGTAGCTAGGTTAGCTACAATTTCTTTAAGGTTCGTTATTTGTAAACAACTTTCCATTTTTTTAATTTTGATTTTTCAGTCGAAGGACTATTGATAGTAATTTCAAGACATAAAAATGATTCCGCAAAGTAGTTGTGAATCCACTTAAGCATGTTACAACAGAACCGCATGTGTTACAGATGCCTTCAACATCATTTGAGTTTGCTTTCCATTGAAATACATTCTAAATAATAAAATAGAAATTCAATAATTTACAAATTTGATTTTTTATAATTTTCAGTAATAATACCCTTTTATACCATATAACAAATAAACTTTCAAAAGACATTAAACAAAAAAAAACATTTAAACCGTTTTTGAAAAACGACGGTTTTCATTTAGTTCTGACAAAAAACTACGATTTTAGGGTATCAGTTAAAACCGATTGAAAACCCTAGAGTTGACCACTGTATAAAATAGAAATTGTGGCTTTATTTGAACAATTGCTCACAGAGTTTTCAAGCGTATAGTGAACTTCTCAATTCAAAATGATATAGAAAACAATATCTCTTACAATCGTAAGATATCCGATTAAATGTCTAAAAGGCAACGCACGCCCACTGGATCAGGCGCAACTGATCTTGGATCTTGGATCAGGAAGACAATCTTGGATCAGGAAGACAACTGGAGTTGTTTAATGATTCTTATTGTTAGAGTTATAAACTTACTTTTTTTATTACATACAAAAAGTTGACTTAAAATTTTATCTAAAGGTAATCTATACAAGTAAGTTAGGTGCAGTTAAAAAAGTTAGGTGCAGGGACAATATTATGGGGTGCGGTGGGACTTTTCCATTACTTCCCACTCCCATCCTCTCTACACACAACATTTTTAGCGGAGTCGGAATTGGAGTCGGAGTCGCTAAACAAAATAGCGACTCCGACTCTAATAGTAAAACTTCTCAATATTGCACGTGCATGTACAAAACATTCAATTAACCTTATCTTCAAACTCAACCTTAAAGAGCGTTTCATAAATTTGTCAAAAAAAAAAAAAAAAATTATTGCGTATTATTTTTTTTAGAATTCAATAAATTTTTCAAAAAACTTTGCTTGGGAGTTGTAGTTGGAGTTGGGGTCAGAGTCGGAGTCGGAGTTGTACTCAAAAAATTTCAACAACTGGAGTCGGAGTCGGAGTCGTTACTTTTTTTTACGACTCCACACCCCTGGTTTACGTATAGTAACCATGATAACAATTTAATAATAAATACAAAAGTTCTATTTTATAGATTTTAGATTAGATGATTTTATCTTTTAGTTATTTGTTGTTAAAATAGCATTTGTTAAAATAAAAAAACTAGTCAATCAAGTAATTCAGTAGTTTAATAAAATTAATCGTTTAAAACATGATCCGATTTTTTCAATTCAATTATTTTATTTACTTTATTATGCTTTCATCAAGTTACTTATTTAAAAAATGAAAACGGATAATCGCGGGAAAAAACACGCCAATCCCATTTGGAATTTTCCACATATAACTTATGTTGGATTTACCTCCTATACCTCATACAGGATTTACCATATGAAACCCATGTGTAGTTTTTTACTGGGATCGCACAAAGTATTTTTTTTTTTTCAAATTATGTTTTCGATTTTTTTTTTCATGTTTGAGCTAATTTTTATATAACATAGTTGTCGAAAATCAGCTTTAAAATAATAATAATAATAATAATAATAATAATAATAATAATAAAATAATAATAATAAAATAATAATAATAATAATAATAGCAATAATAATAATAATTAACAATAATATACAATACTGTTGAGATTTAACGCTATGTTAAATCTTTTACAGACATAACAAGAAAGTTAAAGAAAGTCAATTAAGTCTAGTTTAGCTTTAAATAAGTTGAGATTTTTAACTTCCACTGGTTCAATTGGTAAAATGTTCCAGAATTTGACTGTGTAAAAAAACCTTCACGGTTTCGATTTAAATATTTCTTATCGGTGAATAAATGATGTTTATTACCTCGAAAGTTTGAAGATGGACCAGAAGAATTTAAAGAGCACAAATGTTAAGGGGGTATTTTCCAAGTTATTTTCTCTATATCATAATACCATTTGTATATTTGTTTGAGATCTCCTCGTATTTTTCGTTGTGTTAAAAATATTAATTTCATTTTTTCTAGTCTTTCATTGTATAATAGATGACGTAGCTCAATATGAAATCTATATGAAACCTGACAAACTTAAGAACCTTTACGACTGAACTAATTGTTTTATATAATTAAAACAAAAGGTGCCGTTGAATATATAACCAGCTGATTATATTTTTAGATTATTGATAAAGTTTTTTTTTTTTTTTTAATTTTACAAATAAATTAATTCCTCAAAAAAAAAAACTTAACAATAGATATACAAAAAAAATAGCCAAAAAAATTTTAAAATCACACTAGGGAGCAATTGAACCCACCTGCAATATTGCAAACAGTTATTTGCTTTTTTAGTACCTATTTAATTGGAAAAAAATAATCAAAATAAAATTTAAGTTTTATTTAATTACAATTAATTTTTCTTTCACGAGAAAAAAAAAATATCATAAATAAATTTATCAAAATAAAAAGTGTTAAAAAAGTCAATTTTTTTTTCAGTTTTGATTAAATTACAATGTAACTGAGAATTGAAAAAAGAAATTTTAGTAACTCATTTTAATCTTTTAAAATTATTTGTTAAAAGTATCATCAGATGTACCATGTTATTAAATTTCTATATAGGATTCGTCTATGCAATATTTTTTCTTCCTTCGTCAGTTTCAATTTCAAACAAGGAATCAATAATTATCATAATAAAAGATTCAAAATCTAATTGGTTTCAAAATAATATTAGAAAAACAGGTTTAAGTGGCTATGTAAATGTTAGCAATCTTTTTCAAAATGAAACATATAAAAGTGAAAAACTCATGATATTCACATCGTATAATTATACGACGTTGATAGAAATAATGTTACATTTGATTCTTGATCAATCATTTCAATCAAAGTTTATAACCAATCACCTTGCATTACTCACTGATGTCAATGAAGATTTGACATCTATAATGTCAAATATTATTGTACCGTATAATAACGTTTTGCTTTTCGATTGTAATAGCAACAATTATAATATTGCTTACGGTAATAATTCGGTAGGATATTATTATAATTCTCATAAAGATTCATTTATAGAAATTGTGGCTTACTTTAACATCACAAAATATATTTTTGTAATTATTACTACAGATGTAAATGAAATAGAAAAGTATGACATTTTATCATTTATGAAGCAATATGTAAATAACACTGAGTTTTGTTTTGTTGAATATACTGTTCACTTTACAAATACATCTTATATGACTGCTATTGCAAAAAAGTTAGGTCCGTATGTTAAGAATATTTTTGTAATTTTTAATTCTGCAGATGGCTTTTTGAGGTTTTTTGAGATATGCACAAAAAACAATGTAACATTTGGTAGGGTGATTGGGAATACATTATCATTTGAGGTTTTTGTAAGAGTTTGGGTTTACTTTTTGACAAAATCAAAAATGAATACAGAATTCAACTTTTATTCTCAAGCTTTGAATTCCTTAGAAAGTGTATCGTCGTATGATATTACCGCATTAATAAATCTTGTCAATCAAAAGTTATCAGAATTTATGATAAGAAATAAGTTTAAGTTTCATAAAGAGTCTTTTTTAAATAATAAACTATTTTTTGATTGCATTGTCCCCAACCCTTACAGCTTTTTCGATATCTTAAAGAGGTATGTTTTGCAAATAAAAAGTCAATATGATTATGAAGCTATTGATACAAAAAAGCAACTGCTAACCAAATGTAATACAATATGCCCACCCGCTTTCGAACAAAAACTTTTGCTTACGGCAACAAATGAAGAAAAAATGCAAAGCCGTATTTGCAGACGTTGCCAAGTAAATTTTTTTAAAACTAGTTACGGAACAAACAAATGTGAAAAATGTCCTTTAGGTTATACTTCAAATAACAACAACACAGCCTGCTTATTAACATTTGGTGTGGATTTGACTTTTCACTGCATTGAAGGGATTATAATTACACTAATAGCGGCTTTCTCTACCTTGATCGGTTTAATTACAGCAGTAACATTTATATTAAAAAGAAATACACCTGTTGTGAAATCATCAAACTTTATCTTGTCATTGACTCAAATAATATGTTATTTGTTGGTTTCCCTTCTTGTTCCACTTCTATACGTCTCCAACAATGAGTTGTATTGTTATTGGCGAAGTTTTATAATCAGCTTCCTGCTTATTACTGCAACATCAATTACTTACATCAAAACAAGAAAATACATTTTTATTTTTAAAACTCTCATTCGTTTTACCAAGAAAGAAAAGATATTTTCCACATCAATTGAAATTATGATGATAGGTTTCATTTTGATTGTGCAAATGTTGTTGGCAATCATTTTACTTGTTAAATCGCCGCCAGTTGTTATCTCATATTTAAACTACGAAAAAAAAACTATAACATTTCAATGTACTGGAGATTCCCAATTAAACCCTCAAGTAATTTATATTGGTTTTATGTTGCTGATTTGTTCTGTTCAGAGTTTTTATGCTCGAAATCTTCCCTCGTACTATAACGAGACACTTTCTATTACATACAGTACAGGAATCTCGTTCTTATTATTAATTTGTTACTTTCCTCTTTACTATGGTAACCACGATATCAAATCGAGAACCACTGCCGTCTCAATTTTGATTCTAACGACAAATCTAATTTTAATGACAGTATTGTTTACACCCAAAATAATTGTAATTTATTTTAAACCTGAAATGAACAGTAAGCGTAGTATTCATATCGAAATGATGAATTATGCTAAATCAACCTCTGCAACTCTTTCATAACAATAACTTTACAAATATAAACAAATACTTAACAATTCTTAATAACATATATATCCAGAAAACATTATTTTAGTAGATTTGCAGTAGACCTATATAGGCATTTTCAAGCGTTTTATTGGAGTTTTGCTTATCGGTTACTTAGTGGACCATTAGTGGCAGCTGCTATGAAGGACAAGATGATAACTTCCCGACATGTTTGTAGCGGCTAGTAATACGCTAGCCACTTTTTGCGGCTGCCACTAATAGTCCACTAAGTAACCGATGAGCAAAATCACAGTTGTCCGCTCAAAGTGTCTGTTGAATGTTTTCTGGGATGTTATGTATGATAAATAAATGTTATAATAAAAAAAGTGTGCGATACAATTTATAAACATAAATTATACAATTTCGTTTTAATGAAAAAATAAACTGTTTAATTAAGCTAATGCAATAAAAAAAACCGTTAAAACATGTTAAATATATTTTAGTTAATGTATATACAAGATCTTTGAGTATGTAAATTTATATAATTTCTTGCAGTTACACTATGTCAGAAATTAAGAAAGTTTCATTATTAACTCATTTAAACTGTTATTATTCAACTGATACCATAAGGTTCGGCCTCGGCTAATAATTAAAAAACTTGACGCCTCGAGGTTATGTCGTAAGCCTGTCGTTATGACCCGTCATAATAAAATAATTATTCAAGTATTAGCCGTAATTCTCATTTAGGCAAAGTAAAATCAGACTAAGTAAAATCAGACAGAATATGACTTTACTTTGTCTGAGTGAGAGTTATGACTGATACTTGAAAAATGATTTTATTTTTGATTTTAATTTCATCAACATAGATTCTCCATGATATAGTCTATATGATAGATACTTTATAATTTCATTCTTGAAATAAAACTCTACTTCTTTTATGTTTTTTTTCGCTTTTTTTCATTTTTATTGATTAAAATATTGGGACATTAATTAGTTGTCTTATCTTATAGAAGAGATTAAAGCTTGCATTTTAGCAACTCAAAAATAATTTATTTGTTATAAAACATTATTTCAACTGTATTCCTGTTGAATGTATCTAAAATTTTTATATTCTATTTTCTGCTAATACTTTTAACCAACTTATGTCAGATCTTTAATGTCATAAAATTTTACCTTTGAAAAAAAAGTTAATAGCATCAAATACTTTGAACAGATTGATAATTGTTTGATTACAGTTATCAAAGGTCAGATATTCTATTGGCAAGTTCAATGATAGCATGTTCAGCTAAATATTAATTCTGAAATCCAAACTGATTTTGTTATGTAATTATAAATTTTATTATAAATTACCCTCTCAAATAATTTCGAAATTACATGGAATAGAAATATGGGACGTTAGCTGCAAACAGTATAACAATCACCTTTTTTGAAAATTCGGTAAATTTTGGCTGATTTGAATTTATCAGGATATATACTATTCTAAAGATGCTATTTACAAAACAAATGCTATTTATTAAACAAATTAAAATTTAAATTATACTATTCATAACATAAACTTATACTATTCATAACATAGACGTTGCTACGTTACTAATAATGACATTATTAGCATATGGTTAGTTACGACAATTTACTGTTATTTTTTATTGTGTATGCTAGTCTTGTGTTTCTCTACCAAGTATCAGTGGCAGATTAAGACTTCTTGGAGCCCGGGGCTATTTTTGTTTTTAGAGGCCTTTTTATGGGCCAGAGCCAAAAAATAACTTTAGGAAATATTTGCTTACAATATTTGGGAAACAGGAAAGCCTCTTTTTTTATTTCGCTTCCGGTAATTTCATTTATAACATTCTGAGTTTTCTTGATATAAAATTTATATTTATCTAGACGACTAGAACAGTATTTAAATTTAGCTTATATATGTTTTATAATCTCTCTTGGTCATTTTTTGTTTTCTTTTTGTTGAGTTTAGTTTATTAAACTATTTATCACTCAAATTTTATCAAATTCGTTTTATGAAAAAAATATTTTTTTATGTAACCAAATTTTAGTTTATTTTATACTTTTTTTGTTTGCTTAACTTTTTTAACAAACAAACTTTTGATATTTTGTTCAAACTTTTTATACGTACAGATATAATTTCAATTTTATAAATAATCTCTAAGTGTTTAAAAATCAAGATAACTAACAATAAAAATAAATAATTTGCAAATTGTTTAATAAAATAATTACTTAAAAAAAAATTTATAAAAACAAACTAAAAAAACTATAAGGTATAAAATACATTTTTCATCTTACGATTCAAAATTACGCAAAAAGTTTTTAAAATCTTGATTAAAAATAAAGTTTCTCATTAAAGATGTTATCATTTGAGGAGGTTATAAGTTCAATGTGGCTATAATTTTTGATTAGTAGCTTCAGTAGTAGCTTTTCATTACAAAATGATTCCTAACATATGAAAATTGAAAATCCACGCATGGTACATATCTTACTTCATTACTAGATTAACACACTAAATCATTATTTTTTTATGCATCTCTTGATAAAATAAATTACCACAATATTTGGACTAATATTTGGAGTATAAATTTGCAGGGATTGCAATACTGAATTAATTATGAATTGTTATAGTTTATTTCTGGATGAATTAAAAACCATTTATTTTGAGACACAGGTGGTGTTTGTTTCAAGAGACCCATTTCTGAAAATTCAAGAGACTGATGTCTATGTATAAAATGTGGTAGGAGTGTAAATCAATCATTCAATCTATGTTTATTGTATTAATATTGCAATCGCATTGGTGATAAAAATCAAAACTTTGTTTTCTTTCGCATTTTGAATGTAAGCTTTTAATATAAATAAATGCATATCAATCCGCTATTAAGATTGTTAAAAATATAATACAATTCTTAGGTCCACCTATTAGCATACGTTCGTGAAATCTTTTTCTTGAAAATATAAAGACTGATGATATAGAGTTTGTAACAGCATCAATAATTGCATTCATAGCTAAAAATTACTTTTGTTCAGCTAAGAGATTTTGCCCAAATTGCTTTTTACTACGCTGAGTAACTACATTTAGTGCGAGTAAATTGGCCGTACCACTTGTTTCATTTACGATCAATATACGCATATAAATATAGTATCACACAAAAATTTTCTAATACTGCCTAACTTTTACCATATAGAAAATGTTCCACTAAATTTTTGTAAAAATATCATTATTGTTAATCAATGGAATTTTTTTTTTTAATAACATTTTATATTATTAAAAATCTAAAAGCAATTTCTTTAAGGCAGTAAATTTCTGTGAACTCTTAACGTTTACAAATTGAAAAAATTAGATATAATATCAAAAAACATAAAATCTTTCTAAAAAACCTACCTCCTTTTCTACAAGCTTCATCTTTTATTACAATGATCCCGTGCCGTATAACTGCAAAAATGTTTTTAATCAACTAATATATTTAACTTAGTAGATGAGTTAATATTTTTAAAATTTTTCGAATCACCCTAAATTAAAAAAGACAAAAAGGTTTTTTATTTTTTTTAAAAAGTTAATTTTAAATTTAGTCATTCTAATAAAAACCACTTTTAGTAGTATAAATATAGTTTAAGATGGCTTTTGCTTTATAACAAAGGAAATCGCGGGAAAGCGGAATAGTATCGAAAATTAACTGATCGAAAAAATGATTAGTATCGAAAAATAACTGACCGAAACTTATTTTAATGATTAAGATCGAAAATATGATTTTCAGATTAATATCGAAAAAATTTTACATCGAAATTCACAAATGTGGAACAATATCGAAAACAATAAAAACGGAATAAGATCGAAAAATTATTGAACTGATTAACATCGAAAATGTGTTTTTCTGATTAATATCGAAAAATTTTTATATCGAATTTCACAAATGTGAAACAAAATCGAAAATAATAAAAAAGGAATAAGATCGAAAATTCATTTTAATGATTAACATCGAAAACGTGATTTTCCGATTAACGTTGAAAACAATAAAAACAGAATAAGATCGAAAACTCATTTTAATGATTAACATCAAAAGTGTGATTTCTATTTTATTCCTTTTTTCACAGTTTCGATATAATTCCGGAAATTCCCGTTTCGATACTGTTCCTTTTTTCAGAATTTCCATGTAATTCCGTTTAATGAATTTTCGATACTATTGCTTTATTCACAATTTCGATATTATTCTGATAAGTCCCTTTTCAATATTTTTCTCTTTTGAGCTGTTTCGAGGTTATTTTGCTTTTCAGATTTTCGATACTAATCTTTTTTTTAACAATTTCGATATATTCTCTTTTTCGATATTAATCCGAAAATTCCCTTTTCAATATTGTTCTTTTTTTCACATTTTCGAGATTATTCTATTTTTCTGATTTTCAATACAATTCCTTTTTTTACAATTTCGATGTTATTCTCTATTTCGATGTTATTCCGGAAATTCCCTTTTCAAGATTAATCAGTTTGGCTGTTTTCGATACTGTTACTGCTACCCAAAATCGCCGCTAGTGTAGCTTTAATTCCGCTAAAAAAATCGGAAAAAAAAACCTAGAAGAAAAATACCTACCCGATTAGCTTCAATTAATTCAACATCGTTGGGTTTTTTAACGTTTTTTGGAAGAAGGTGTTTTTTCCCTTTAAATAATTGAATTAGGTAGTAGTAGTAGTAGTAGTAGTAGTAGTAGTAGTAGTAGTAGTAGTAGTAGTAGTAGTAGTAGTAGTAGTAGTAGTAGTAGTAGTAGTAGTAGTAGTAGTAGTAGTAGTTGTAGTAGTAGTAGTAGTAGTAGTAGTAGTAGTAGTAGTAGTAGTAGTAGTAGTAGTAGTAGTAGTAGTAGTAGTAGTAGTAGTAGTAGTAGTAGTAGTAGTAGTCGTAGTAGTAGTAGCAGTAGAGAAATGCTGCAACAAGTTTTCCTGTATAACCTACAGGTTATGACAGCTTTATGTACTTCATACTCTAGTTTTATTTATATCAATATATAAAAATTTACATAGACATATATTATTAACTGAAGATTTA